GGTACTCATTGATTCAAAGTGTCTTTGGAAAACATTGAACATACTAGTGGTATAAACCTTTCGGTGCTTACTCGTTGAGAACTAATGGACAAGTTTCCTTGAGATATTTTGGTAACTGGGGCGGGGCAGGGTGGAGGTAGTTGAGGATGCGGGCCTAAAATTTATCCCCGCCCGCAAAAAAGTGAAGGTGGGGTGGGAAAAACCCGCGGGTATTGCACCTTTTAAGCCTAAACATGCAAAAATTTATGTAAATGCACATGCCCACAAAAGCCCACATAGAAAACGGGGCGGGGCAGACACATTAGAGGGTGAGGGCCTAAAACCTTGGCCTGCCCCGCACTAAAGTGCGGGCAAAACAGGTATGCCCAATGGATCGGGCCTGTTTTACCACCCCTAAAGGCACCTATGATTTCCATCTAAGTATTGATAGCTAGAATGTGTTTTTGACGATTGATTTTCCCATCAAACTTCACTAGTGATTGATGTTTAAGTTTTCTGGAAATATAACGCCTCAAATCTCATTTGAGAGAAGTTGATGGTCCAAGACCTCATCCTCGACCTGGAAAGCTTCATGTTGAGGCTCTCAAAGGGTCGAAACATACACCTACGAAGCTTGGTTGGAATGACACCACTTTTGCATAGCAACTCACATCTTTGTTAAGGCCGCATTGCCGATATTATCGGTAGTGCTAGTTGTTTTAGCGCCTTGTCATGTCACCATGTTAAAGATGATGATTAAGGTGAGTGAAAATTGTATGTGAGTTTGCTTTAGGTTATTTTTATCGAGACTCCACGATGGTATCATTTGTACTTGTGAAATAGAATGAGAGTGACCATGCTCACAAGGGTGATCACAAAAATGTTATTTTAGACTAAATTCGTGAGATTAGTTAATGTTCATCCCAACTCTAGAGACTGTAATATTTATGAAAGCTTTTAGAATCAGATGATAAGAGAGAAATAATTTTTCTCAACTTCCCAACGAGTACGTGGGAGTATAGGGAAGATCGATTCCTTCTCCTATATTAGAGGGAAAGTTTCCTTCTTTACCAGTGTGACCGAAATCGACTTCCCTTAGATACTTCGTCTGAGATATCTTTGCTACAATAGATTAGACAATAGACATGGGTATGAGTCGAGCGACCTGAGATCGTACCCATCATATTATTCCAATGACACTTTCATAACTTATTTCAACTACTCTTTTTCAGCCTCAATAAAGATCTGAGTCCATATAAATCCAATAAAGATATGAGTCCATATAAGCAATATATTTCTTTCCATGTATTATTATTCTAGAATGTATATGTCACAACAAAGTCTTTCTATATTTTTTATCCCATTGGGATGCTAGAATGTTTATGTAGTATATTATCTACGTTTTGATATGTTAGAATCATGTATATGCCACTGCCTAACAAAATATGATCGGCCGTGGGAAGAATTTATTGTGAAAGAATTAAATTTGAGATAATTGATTTTGATTAAAAATAAATTAAATATAAATTGATTTATGTTTGGATGAATTTTTGTAGAAATGATTTTTAATATTTATTGTTGTTTGGATAATTTGAATCAAATTTGTATTTAGATGTATAATTATCAAATTGAATTTTATAAAAATTAAAATTGATTCTGACTCCAGAATTGATTCTATTTGAAGTTAGAATTTATAATTTTTGTCTCTAAATTTTATAACTTCATAGTTTATATACTGAAATATTATTTAATTTATTTTTATATAAAATATATCAAAACATAAATCAATTTTATTAAACTCAATTCATTAAAAATCAATTCTACCAAACTCATTTCTACTATAATTAATTTTGAGAACAACCAATCCAAACATTCCTTCCCTTCATCTATTATCAATTCTAAAATGAAGAGTTACTTTTGTAACTGAATAGCAAACATTCTTCCCAATCATTTAAAGTAATGTTAAAGCTCATGGTCACGTTTGTTGGTTCTCAAGGGAGAACCAAACATGTATTTAGTATTATTTTCACATTTTGATTGCATTTGGATGCTAATATATATATATGCAATTGCCTAAATCCTAAGCCCTAGGCTTTGTATATTTTTCACATTTTGATCGTATTGGGATGCTAGAATGTACAATAGTTGCGTATGAAGGTCTGCTATTGACTCTTACAAATGCAGGTTAGATCCACAATCATTTTGACAAAACCGCAATTTAATTTTTGAAAGATTTCCTTCAAATGCAAATGCACAAGGTCAAATTATTTTTATTTTTGGCTTAAATTTTTTTTTCTTCTTATAATCATTTTTAAAAATCAGATTTTTTTGTTTCAGAAGAGGGCTGAAGCCCAACAGGAAAAATTATTAGAGAAATTAATTTGTCACTTCTATTTTTATACATATCAACTCTAAATTTCATTATTTCTAAAATATCTTTTTTATTATTTACTCTAAATTTTTAACTTTTGTCACAAAAAAAAGTTATCATCGGTCAAAAGAGTAAAAAAAAAAAAAGTTTTTGATACGCTAAACAAATTTTCGATGTCGATTTTGGTAGTTTACCGATAATTCTTTATATTTTATAAATTTTCGATAGCGATTAATCGAAATTTCAAAATTTTTGATCGTGGTTCACCGAATATTTCAAAATTTCTGATCGTGGTTCACCGGATATTTCAAAATTTCCGTGTCAATTTTCAAAAGCTAACACACGTATCGGAAATTACGCAAATATCTGGTAGAAAATGTTAACCAGAACTTTGAAATTTTCGGAGTACCGAAAAATTTCAGTTATACTTGAAATTTCTGATATGTCTGCAGATGAAATTTTATATCATTGCGGTTTCTTATAAGGATGGAATACATCGAAAATTTCAAATTTTTGATACCGGATATTTCAAATTTTCGGTTAAGGTTATTTCAAATCAACGAAATTTCTGGTATTTTCGTGAAATTTTCGATATGATAGAGGGAGGGGTGACGTGTATAAAATAGAGGGTGACATCTTAATTCCTCAAAAAATTACAAAGCAACTACTCTATGAGAGGTTAGGAAGCCCAACAGGAACAAAAAACTACAAAGCAATTATGTATACCTCTCCTAGGATTCCCTCCGTCCCATAATTAGTGACTCAACCTATCATTTCATAAATATTAAGAAAAATCTAGAAAAGTAAGAGAGAATAATAATTTTACTATAGTATCCATAATCATGTATTGGAAATTGGTCTTACCGGTTGATCATAACCTACAAGGTGGTCGGATGATGATCTTCTGTCGGGCTGGAGAGTCAAGGAGGAAAAGGAGGGTTGTACCTGCAAGGCACTCCGACGAAAGTAAGTATGGGAGCAAAGATATACAAGCAGAGTATTAAGATTTTAGTGGTGAATAGTAAATATTCGATACCTAGCCCTCACATGTGTGAGTGTTTATATAGTGCCCATGGCGCTTGGCCATTGGTTCCTATTTTTGAGCTTAGATATACGAGTCCACAAAAATAGCTAACTGCCAAGACTTGGTCAAATCGGGCAGGCTTACCGGTTGATCAGAACCTACAAGGTGGCCAGATGATGATCTTCTGTCGGACTGGAGAGTCGAGGAGGAAAAGAGAGGTTGTACTTGCAAGGCACTCCGACGAAAGTAAGTGTGGGAGCAAAGACATACAAGCAGAATATTAAGGTTTTAGTGGTGAATAGTAAATATTCGATACCTAGCCCTCACATGTATGAGGATTTATATAGTGCACATGGCGCTTGGTCATTGGTTCCTATTTTTGGGCTTAGATATAGGAGTCCACAAAAATAGGTAACTGCCAAGACTTGGTCAAATCAGGCAGATTTACTCGTAACTAGCCGTTGGTTCTGAGGAGGAGGTAGGTTACGGGCAACAGTCTGGTCGGTTTCTGATTCTTTAGCTGACATAAGGTCAGGAAGACTGAGAGGCGCTCGCCTAATGTCGTAGGTCAGTGCCGGTCTAAGAGGACAAACGAATGATGGTTCCCGACGGAGGAACCCGGGCCACAGTCGTACGAACCGTACCGAAGGAGAAGGTTAGGATGGATCTACTCTAGCTGTCAGGCTAGTCCAGAACAAAAACGATGAAAGTTTAATTAAATAGAGGATAGTATTGGAAAATATATTGAAAATTGAAATGGATCATTCATTTTAGGACACTATTTTATTCTAAATAAATCACTCATTGTGGGACGGAGAAAGTACCTCTTATGTCGTCATCGACCATCTATACTACTGGATAAAAAGAATAGGTGTCATCTATCATATTGGATAAAACAATAGACATTGCACTTATTAAGCTTGTCATCTATCATATTGGATAAAACAATTGACATTGCACACTTAAGCTCATGATACGCATGCTCAACTCTGATATGCATGCTTAACTCTAACCACATATGACTTATTCATCAATTGACGAGTCATCTGTCATGTATCATACTGGATAAAACAATAGGCATTGCACACTTATTAGACTCATGATATGTCATCTATCATACCGGATAAAACAATAGGCATTGCACACTTATTACTCATTAGACTCATTCTTCAAAAACCCCGCAAAGCTCCGCCATTACAACGCGACTTGGCAAATCCCCTGATCCAAATCAGGTTTTTTGACTCTTCTATTTTACAAATTGTCTTTTTATCCTTACCATAATCGATGATGTGACACATCAGAATTGAAAATCTAGAAAGTAAACAATAATCGATTTGTGAAATCATGCTTTTCAAGCTTTCATTCAATAAAGACAACAAAATTAACTGTAAATTAGTAAAAAAAAATGATAAAATTATATCTACACATCAGAAAAGAGAAAATCTATCATCTCACTTGTGTAAAAACTTTGGTCATTCGCCACGTTGCAACTAAAATCTTAGTAATTAACAATTGCACACGAAAAAAAGGTTTGAAACTATTTATATATTACAATGTTTTGATTGACCGACCACTTGTTGTGTATTTTCCTCTTGTATGTTCTCTCACAACAGTGGAATGGACAGTTCAATCTTGGTGAAGTTCGTCAGCTTGTGGGGCAGCAAATCTAACATTGGCAGGTCGTGCCACAACAACTGGGTCATCAGCAAATAGTGCTTTGATGAGTGATGGTGTTTTTAGGGGTCGACGACCAGTCATCCTAGGATAGACATCTTCAAGAAAATAGTATGCATGGCCAGCAATCATTCCCTGGAAAATGTGGTCGAGATTTACATTAGTTGTTGTACAAACAGAAATCAGATGTCCACATCATGGTATATTTATTCTTTGAGAACATACCAATAGGTCTACCCAGGCACTAGCACCAACGAGAACAGAGAACCCCAAGAGAACCTACATGTATAAAACTTTAGATCAGATTTCCAAAAAATGCAGTTTAGTGTTATCCTATCAGATAACAACTGTATAGCTTACGCACCCATGGAAGGTAGGCAGCGGTGAAAGTAAAAAGACCTAGGAAGCTCATGTGAATGAAGGGATTCTGTTTGCTCCATACATAAACCTGAAAAGAATAAATCAAGACTTTGAATTTGAGGTGGATTTGAATGTGGGGGGTCAACAAAAATATTACACAAAATGTAACTCACCATCATAAATGTCAAGGAGTTGCTGAGGAAGATAATTTTTGCAAATGACTCTGACAAGTAAGGTATCATTCCCCCAAGAAGAACGATTCCAGTCAATACAGATGCGCCAAATAAGAGCATGTAGAAAAAATCAGCAGTCCTTCCCCTGAAGGAGTTCTCTTCTAGAAGCTTGCAGTACCGAGCAAGAAAAAACATATGAAACAAGAAATCCAAGTCTGCATATTCAATAAGAAGATGCCATGATGAAGTTAAATGTATGATTCACAATTTTCAAATTATAAGGATTGAAAATATAAGTCATTGATCATCTAGTCCACACATAGAAAAGGCAAAAGAAATCAGGTGTAAGGGGAGGAGGGAAGCATCTTACACCCATTGATATAAAGAGATTACTGATTTCAGTAAATATTAAACACCAAATCATCAATGTGAGTCTCAAGTTTCATTCCTCTTATTTGCAATGTAAATGCCCATGACAAGAAAAGCATTATCTAATTTGCAATGCAAAAAGGGAGTTCAGCAAATGAGGTAATTAAGGTCATGTGTAAATATGAAGCACGAACTAATGCTATGATCTAAGCAACAAAAATAAGTATGATAAAAAGGTTTTATTGGTTCTGATAAGTAGCATGGGTGCCTGACAGCTCATATGTCATAATCAAATAGTTTAAAAATTGAAACTATCATGCCCACAACCATTCACCACATGTTTATATTTGGATCAATCAGATCGACACCTTTACCCAATAAGTGTGTACATCTCCCCTATAGCAACTGCCTCTCCTCACTCATATTGTTTCAAAACATAACTCTGATTTTTTTAATGCATGGCTCCTAAAATGTGGTTTTGCAATGTAAGAATTAAGCTTGTGATGCTTGAAAAAAATCCCCGTTCATTTCAACAAATTACTAATAACCAATACTCCTTCAAATCACATTGACACACATGTTATAAAAAGAAATATAGATGCATCAGCATATGGTATTGATAAACTAAGAGTAAAATGAGTTCTACACAATAAGTGTGAACATCACCCCTATAGCAACAGCCTCTCACTCATATTGCTCCCAAACATAACTCTGATTTTATTAGTGCATTGCTCCTAAAATGTAGTTTTGTGATGTAAGAATTAAGTTCACGATGCTTGAAAAATGTCCCCATTTATTTCAACAAATTACTGATAACCAATACTTCTTTAATCACAATGACACACACACATAGAGGGAGGGATAGATGCATCCGTATATGGTCTTAATAAACTAGAAGTAAAATAAGTTCTACACAGGTATCAGCAAGTAGAAAGCTCCATATTATATACGAAAATAATAATGAAATGAAAATCTAAGCCACGAGCATGTAAACATTATTATTAGAGGAATAGCTGCATAAATACAAAAATTGATATCTGTCAAGTAACCGCCATGCCAATAACAATGGACAGCAGACCCGAATAGGCAGCTCAGTTGGTGAGCCGAGCGTCACCAAATGAGTTCCAAATAGGAGGACCGGTTCAAACACACAAAACAAACATAACCACTAATCTACCAACAACTAACATTTGCCTAAAAACAAAACAATGTGAAGAGCAAAGAACATTTTACCCATCTTCCTGAAGTACAAGAAATTAGTAACCAATCGCCAAAACTGATATTTCTTCGCAACCAATCTAGGGTTCAAGTACAAATGATGCGGAGAAATTATCTGCATAATCATAAACAAAACACCAAACAAACAAAAACAATTACCCACTCGCAATTTCCAAATCAGTAAAACAAAAGAACAAATCAAAAAGTAAATCACAATAAAATAACAATCTGGTTTCAAATCAGTGTACTAACGGTTACAAATCGAGAAATCAAAAAACAATAACCATTCGAGATAGCAGAAAAAGGATTGAAACCCTAAAAACCTAGAAAGGGAAAAGAAAATGGGTATACCTCGAGGGAGCATCCGACGGTGGTGACAACAGCCGCAGTGAGATAGGATCGAGTGATCACCGGCATCTGTCTGTACCATTCTTCAACCGCTTGAGCCATTGTTGTTTTGCCCTAATCTCTCTCTAATCCTAATTAAACTTTATAATAAGAACAACAATATGAAACGAAAGTGAAACTTTAGCTGTGATTTTCAGGAAAGTGAGATTTCAGGGGAATTTGATGTGATAGAAGAAGCGTGAAAGAAGAGAGGGAGGGGAAGAAGAAGAAGAGGTGGGAATACGACGAATGACAGAGGAACCGCGAATCATAAAGCGCGTGGTTTGCACGAACCAATTGGGTTGTTCCTACTTGTTGTAGTTTGTTTTTGGTAACACGGAAGGACTTGGGCTATTGTTGCTGCATGAGTTGGCCCGTGTGTTTAGCCCAACATTTATTCACAAGCTGTTCGTGGATATTTTATCCTGACAGCAAAGTTACATTTGGCATCCCCCATATTTCTCTAATATCAGTTATTTATATTTATGTGTAAATTTAATTAAAAAAATATTGGTAAAATATTTAAAGATCAAATAAAGATATTTGGTAGTGTATGTAAAAAATTTAGTGTATCGGATTTTTCAAAAAATCTATAATGTTAAAGAAATTGTTTTAGATTGACTCAATGATTAGAATTGTTCTAATATGCTTCCACTTTCAGTATGATTCAACAGCTCTGGTCCACTAATTCTAGTCTTCAGTCGATCACGCAGGGTCGACCACGCCACAAGGCTAGTAAGGATAATGATGCTCCGACCACGCGTTTGCCCACATCCAGGTCTGCCCGACATCTGTAGAGCAGACAACCAGAAAGCATCCATAAACGCACCTGCCCGTAATATCCTTCTTGCTCGGAGCAACAACTAGTTACGAGCATGACCGCCTGTTTTGATCAAGTCCTGACAGTTATCTATTTTTTAGGAACCTAATATCTAGGCCCAAAATGACTACGCGTCAGGGCATTATATAAACCATCATACTTTTGAGGGCCATATATCAAAGAATCACTCTAAAAAACCCAAATATCTTCCTTGTATCTCTTTGGATTCTTTCTTACTTGAGCCCCTTGAGAGTGAGAGATTTGTCATTGGAGGTGTCTTTCCCTTTGACGCGATTCTTGTTTATTGAGAGAGTTTTCGTTCATTGGATATTCGTCAAGCGAATTTATCTGTTGTCAAACAATTAGCCATATGCAAACAATGGTATTCAAACAATGCAAAGTTTATGTCTGTCTTAAGAATTTTTTTTGAAAACTGCACTTTTAAAGAGCAACAAAAATTTGTAAGAATATGAATTCAACTCAGGATCTATAGTAAACCTTACAGGAGTCAGGATACCTTTTATAACAACATGCTTTCAAACTAACCTATGCTTTAATTAGGACTTTTAAAGGGTTGTAACGTAACCTAGTTCATGATTTAAGGAACAAAGGATAAGGCTCAAAGTTTATTTGTATCCAACCCGTTCTCCATAATGTTCTCCAATCCTAAACTCAGTCGATCGCACATTTATCCCCTACTAGAATCTGGAATGATATTTGGGTGATGGTTCAGATACTAGAAGTTTATTTGGGAAGGCAGTCATTTTTGTAACATTTTTTCATATTGTCGAGGATTTGTAGTGACCTCTGTAACACCCTATTTTTACTCGGCAGATAATGATAAAAGCAGAGTTCAACATAAATAGGATGCTACATTTTCAATTTAAAATCAAACTTCATTTAATTGCATATAAAACAGATACATAACATTTAACTCAGATGAACTGATAACAACTTGATTTATTCGTTAACATCAAACAACTTTATATTGATAAGCAGTAGAATCTACATACTCAACTTCAATTCACTTAACATCTTTATTCAACTAAAACAACTTCGAGACAACAGTTACTTCATGTAAACAACTTAAAAATTCAGCAACGAAAATAAATATCAACAATTAAACATTAAGCGTTCATCCCCCTGAGTGCTACGTATCAGAGCGACGACACCGACTCGAACTGACGAAGGTACAACTATTCTTCTTGATTACCTACACGTTACCAACAGAGAGCAACATTCAAACAGTAAGGGTGAGATTCTTAAATCGTATAAGTGAGCGTATGATAAATCATATATTAGAATTCAGGAATATAAAACCATCACATTGCAATATCAACATTGTCATGCCCTTCACAATACATATTTTCACAAACCTCACTTGTTTTAATCACAACTTAAATCATCACAATCCACATCAGTATTAATTATGCAAGACCCGATGAGACTCAACTCTACAAATGCATGTGGTACCAACAGGGCTTCGGCCCCCATCGCCAATTGCCAATTATTAGAGGCATTCAAACAAGGCATCAGCCTTCATCGCTATTTTGCCAATTATTAGAGGCATTCAAACAAGGCATCAGCCTTCATCGCTATTTTGCCAATCCAAGCCATCACAGAGTATGTAAATGTATGTGACTCAATGAATGCACCATCACATACTCACAACAATCACCATTCATCACAAGGCATAAGCCCACGTCGCCATTATTACCAGTAAATAGAGGTAATTCATCATCATCTAAAATTATCTGCAACTTCGCATTATCAACAAAAATTCACAGCAACAATCATAACAACACAACAATGGCAATACAACAACAAATCAATAACAATGATTAAACAACAACTTAACAACAATTCAACAGCAATTCAACAACATGTTACCAACCATTCAACATTGGCCAAAGGCCCACAACATAATATTGTCCATAAATAGAGACAATTCAACCAAATTCATCATCACCTGCAGTTTCATAATTAACCACAACAATTATTCCGTATAATTATTCAGACAAATCGACCTAATCCTGCAAACCAATTAATTCTCCACTGTTATTTTATTACTAATAACCTTCTGTTACTAATTCACATCTTAGTCTCTATCTTACAGCAACTTATATAATTCATCGTCTCAACCGTAATATTTTACAAACATTCCGTGTAATTATTCGGACAAACCAACTACATCCGGCTAAATAACCCTCAGCTACAATTACTAGCATTTCTACTCGGTATTATTATTACCAAACCCATATTGCTACTGTTAGCTCATACTATTCCTATTATTTCATCACTCTGCTAATGTACATCAGTTTACCAAAACAATTACTACAACTATACTAATTATTTCCAACTCTATCTTATTACTAGGACCGTTAAATTATGTTGAAACTACTAAATTAAGATTATTGACATAAAGGCTACTTATATTAATGTCTTTCTGCTATAGCCTACTACTGATAAGAATAATTTAATTTTATTCCCTAACTTAATGCTTTTGTATTAATAAAATTCTATGCTAAAATATGTAGGCTTTATGCGAGATACTGATAATATATTGCTAAGCTACAGAAAATTAAGTGCCTGCCAGCCCAACAACCAGTGCCGAACGACACTCTCCTTCAACAACATCCAGTGTCGAATGACACTCCCCTCTTCTCCCCAATGATGCCGATCGGTAGCCTCTACCAACAACAACACATTGTCGATCGTCAATGCCTTCCTTCCATCCAGCGACAACATAGCCTGCCGATCGTTAATGCCCACCGTATAATTTTCTGCAAATTCCTATTACTTCTCCAATTTCATTCGATTCACATACTAACCAATGGAATAGTCAATCAACAACACACAGGAATACGAAAGCTTCACCAATATTCATCACCAATTAATTAATAACAGCCAGTGGGCTGCCCCAATTTTTTTCTTAAGTCTCCTTCATAGGTTTTGACCTAGTGGGCTTTTATAAGGACTGCCTAATTTATGGGGAACCAACACAATCTTTTGATTCAGAAGGATATTTTCGTTGTGAAGTGACAGCTTGTGACTGAATACGCACTTGAATCAACTAAGAAAACTACCCTGCCCTAGGTTATGATTAAAGGTTTCAGTTTGTACGGAAAAGAAAACTCCTACTTCTTTGGCTCAAAGGGGTTGACTATGGATTATCTTCCTTATAACTCCACAGTTTTGGGATTTGAAACAACGTCTGTACGTCATCAGCAAAGTCCGTCCAAAACATACTGCAAAGTTTATAGTATTATTTTCTTTATCCTCCCTCTAAAGGCTTATGACTTATAATCCAGAGTTGAATATCATACAAAAAAGAGTAAAAGTATAATTTCAGTATAATGAAAACAAATGGATTAACTCAAGACAAACATATGCAATGCATTTAATGAGAATAACCAGAGTCTGACATAAAGGTAAGTGTTTAAACAAACAAAGAAATTACAAGTGCAAATTCGAATGAACAAAATTTTCTCCGCCTAAACTTCATCACTTCAGATGATGTGCCTTTGAGGGATGACAGAAAAACTCCAGTTGACCATCTTGTGTAAATTCTAACATGCCTTCGTTGATCAGATCTTGAATCTTGTTCTTCAACACCCAACAGTGATTAGTGTCGTGTCCCTGACTATTGGAGTGGTATGCACACCTTTCATTGTATTTGTAGTTGGGAGCAGAAGTGTTAGGTTTTTGAGGAGGCTCCCTTAACGTAACCAGCTTGGCTTCCAACATATGATGAAATGATTAAACCAAAGGGATGTTGACCTCGGTAAATTGTCTTTTGGGCGTATCTTGCTTATGCGGGCCACCCTATCGTGGTTGGTGAGGTCGTTGTTGGACTTTTGGCGTAGCAGCCATTTTGAAAGGTGTTCTCTTAACCAAATCTTTTTGTTTCATATGAGGCTGATTAGTGACTTGATCCCCACCTTTGACTGTTTATTTCATACAGTTGAATCCATCTTGATGAAGCTTGTTGACGAGAACTCTCAACTCTTCTTGTTCCCAAGCTAAGTTTTGGATAAGAGCCATCTGTCCCAACATCTGGATTCTCATTGTTGACATCTCTACTTGCAATTGCTTTAGCTGGCCATCCTTGTCGTCTTCAGGATTCTTCTTGGTGGTGCTCTCAATGAGGAGTGCCTTCACTTCTTCTTTCCCCTTGGATAAATTTAGGAATAAATCTTGAAGCTGGTCATTTTGGGTCTGAAGATCTTGGACAGTTTGTATG